ACATGACAGTGAGCACACGTCCGGTGTGACTGGTCGACTGGCTCCTCCTTGGCACCTGACCCAACCTCGGATGTTTTGCTCTGCTCCTATTGTGTATTATTTAATTGACTTTTGAGCTCAAATACTGTATTGCGAATTTTACTCGAGCATGTTTATTCATTAGTTAAACATTCTCAAGAATTTTCTATTCTAAAGTACAAGTATGAAGTAAATATTTTACATGAATATTATGGCTTTATTTTATTTGAAAAACATGATTTACAGATAAAAGATAAATAAGAGTACGTCTGCAAATATTAAAGCTTTCTTTTTAAATCATTGATAAAAATACATAAAATGAATCAAAGAAAAATATACTTCAATATTTCTCATTGTTTCTATACTTAATTACATAAAATAAATAAATATATTATACCAATGTATGAAGAGATCACACAATAACATGTATATAATTAAAATCTGTATATTACAAATTAGAGATTACGCAGTAGAATACACATAGTCTGTATTAATAAATCTAGACAGCAATCACTCACCAACACTACGAAAAGCTTACCTTGAAATCCTTCCACTCTTGATGTGATAGGAAACAAGACACAATATCATTTTCCTATATTTTTTTGTTTCATAAATGGATTACATTCTATTTTTACACGGAAAAGATATGAGTTGTGTAAATCTTTTCCCCCCTTTTTTTATTCTAAAATTATGGTGAATACCTTAATCTACTAAAGGAAAAAATTCCTGCTTTCTACTTCCTGTATATTTCTTGGTCTTCTGGTCATTATTAAAAATATGTACCTTTCTCATCTGTTTTAATTTGATTAGAAAAACATGTTTGATGCAAAATAAACAGTATCATAGGATTTAACAAACGAAAACCTTTTCTTTGAATACATTCATTTATAATTTTATTGCCTTATATGATTAAAAACGTATTACTTTATAATAATATATGAGTGATGTCATGCTGTCAATGGATTCTCTCAATTGTCCTTAGCCTACAACAATTTAAAAATAATATTTTTTAATTGATATATCTAACTTCTGGAAAAAAAATAATATAAGGTGTCTTTCTTCAATTGTTCCAGCAATATTTTTTTTCATTTCTCTCTAGAACTTTATTAAGCCTGTTATCATATCACACAACAATCAGTTTATTTGATAAGAGTTTAATGCACGCGTTAGAAAAGGGTGGATTTTAATTTTTGGAAAAAGCGAGATAACTCTGTTAATATTTTTTTACTCCACTGACCGGAAGAGGTAAATCCCCAAATTAAATCTGCCATTTCCCCATGTTTGTCATCTTCTTTCTTATTAAGGTGAAGTTCTTTTATTTACAGTTTATGTTTCTTTTCTAAGGGACGAGATCGATGTCTATGTTAGGAACATGTTGTGACTGATACGAGAAAGCTAATTGTATGAATTAGTGTTATAGGCTGAAAAGTCAGAAGGTAAACAGTAACTTACATCAGGGTGCACAGGTGTTGGTATATTGTATTAATGCATGTGTATCTACATATATATACACTGAACCAAACTTCTAAGTGTTACCTAACATTTTTTGAAGGTTTAAAGAACAAATGCGAACAACATATAATTTCTTTAATTCTTGGTTAATGATACATATTTAAGTTCGATGTTGCATGAATTTTATGTAAGTATCTCGTCAAAATTTTAACCAAATTGTCAAGGAAATGATGTACCCTCAAAATGACAATTCACACAAAAAAAGTCTCGATGGAGAATGACCTACTACTCGCTCTAATTACTACAAGACAACCTTTATTGTTGGATACCATGTAACCCTGAATTGGAGATTGACCCATCTGCTGCCACACCTACATGCATAGATCTTTCCAAACCATTGAAATTGTGAGGAAGGGGGGAGGGGGCTTTGACATTTCTTTTAAAATCCCAGATATGTTCAATGGGATTCAGATCCGGGAATTTTGACAGTGTATCGCCACACAAATGCCTATTGATCAATATTTTGGGTGTGTAGCACGTAAGTGCGCCGCTTTTAGGATAATTCAGACTGATTGAGCTGATATAAGACTGCCCCGAGCACCGATTTCTTATAATTTTCGTACGATTGATATGGTTTGTTTTCATGTTTCTAAGATTTTTTTCAGGACACTTTAATACTCTTTTAACCTTGTGTGATGCGAAATTTTCTCCTCAGAAGAAGATCAAGGTCACTTCCGGTGTGGTTAATTTTTGTCAAAAAGTTTCAAATTGTGATAAATTTGTGATGAAAAATAAGCACATCCTAAAAAAAATGTGTTTAAATGGGTTTTGATACTGTTTGATAATTTTTAAAAGTAAAATCAAGTACAATTTAGCACTAAAGTAAAAGTGAGTAAAACGTGGTGCAAAGATGGTCCAGATATCAACATTCAAACGGCTCTATTTTTTATTTCAATGGTCATTTTGCCAATATATTATGTTTTTTTAGTGATACCAGTTTTTTAAATTTGATACTGATCACAAAAAGATGCTTATTACACAGAACAAGTGCCGCAAAGTACAGATTTATTGTTTTTAAGCTTCGTCACGGAACATTGGTTTTCATAGGTGATATTGAATTTTTCTTTCTACAATTGTTGAGAACACTCATTATTGTAGTAATTTGAAAATATCATGCCATTCTATAAACTATTTTTTAAATGAAAACATGTATTTAAGTGAACACTTAGAAGTTTTGTTAAGTGTATTGCCTTAGGGCGAATATTTCTTTACTTATTATGTGACAGAGAAAATAGTTTTAATTGAAAGTATAACGTGATCTGGAGATAAAACGTGTTGATATTCATTAGATTACTGAGTAAATTTGACCTAATTTCTGCATCCCAGTATGCCTTAAGCATAATGGCTGCGCCCATTGTTAACAAGTTTGGGTGAAGATAGGTTGTTTTACTATGTAATTCAATTTTGTTGAGCAAGATTAAACCTATAAGTAAGAAAGAATAACTACGGAATAGATTATGTATTTTTAAGTCTATTTATTATAATTTTGTTGCAAGGAAAATCTTACCTAATCATAGTCACCAGACCTTGGAATCCCACAGCACAGACTGGACGAGATATATTGGAGACTCTCATGATGAAAAAACCTCACTGAATTTTTATATCTTATTATCTTATATCCATAGGTGTGCACACATATTATGCAAAATTATATAAGTTTATAACAAAAGATAATGACTCTATTCTTGACATAATGATGAAATTAAAAAGTAACAAATTTAAATATATAATATTATTATGTGTAATGAACTTATTGAAACGTCCTTATATGTTTCAAACACAAAAATCTCTCGTTACTTGAGCGTGTACTTTGTTTATAAAGTGTCAAGAAAATGCTGCATTTAAACGTCAAATCAATGAATTGAAGAACAGAGGCTTTAATGGTTTATTTTGATGTTATTAACGTTGAAGGTCGCAACAGAGTAACGTCATATGCGAAAACCAAACTTTTAGCAGTTTGAAGTTGATAAGTTTGCTTCAAAAACCGTTAAGTTATATTGGTGTATATATTCTTGTCAGTTAGACAAAAATTCTACAGATCCCATAAAGCAAATGGTTGTCAATTTACAGCACAAGATTTTTTGCGTACGGTTAAGAATATATTTCTCTACTTTCATGCATTGGTTAATAAAAACCTATCCTTTCCAAATTTAAGAAATACTTTTTAACCAACCTGTGACCAGGGACCGTTCAGGAAGGCGAGGTGACATCCGTTAAACCACCAGCCTCCTTTCCATCCAGCAGCACAGTTATGTCTAGCTCTGTCGTTATCTCTGTCTGGGGTGGAGAAGGACATCCCAGACAGATCATAGTGATCAGGAAAAATAGTGTATAACATACGGTTACCTGTAAAATTATCACAGAAAATTATAACACCTATTTCAGATTAGATCATTATTATTTACTAAAAAGTTAAAGATAAAATCATCTATAGTACTCAACAATAAAATCTTTTTTGATTTTTTTTAAAATTATACTGCTTGTAATAATAGTAGATGAACATCTTTTTCATTTAACATTTTTCTTAGTTTCTCTGTTGTCCGTATATTGATTTCTTTTTTGACTGTATACGAACATGATGATGAGTCTCAACAGAAATAAAAGATTGATTGATTGATTGATTATATGTAGTTTAGCGTCCCTCTCGAGCATTTTTCACTCATACGGTGACGCCATCACTTGACGGTTGAGAGCTAAACATTTTGTTCTATAATACATGTAATACCGGTTCATTGAGCAGTGAGGTAAGTTTTTTGTCCCAGCGCTTACTGCGACACGGGACCTCAGTTTATACGGTCTCATCCGAAGGACCAGTTTGCACGTCCTACAGTGGAATGGGGACTTGCAACGTTAAGATCGATTCCTTACTTCGCGGCTCTAACCACCGCGCCACGCGGGCGACGACAATAAATGTAATTATCATTTCATTCATGTGAAACCTTTGTATTGAATATTGAAACTGGTAAGCATATATACATACATATAAAGAAGGGATGTTCGAAAAATAATTTCATGAACCGGAATTCTTCAAATTTGTGCCACAAGATGCAATTAATGTATTTAACTTCCTTTTTTATTGTTGTATTGTTTTTGTTAAATCTACTGCAGTATGTATTTCTTCAACATAAAAGCGGGATAGTTACAAAACGTCATTGTTATCGACTGTAATTAATTACATTTCCAAAACAAGTTTTTTTTTAAATCCAATAAACTGATTGGCTCATATAGAATGGACTTTTTAAATTACAAGATAAAAAATTATTTTCGAAATATTGATATTCACGCTTTACCCTTCCCCCTCTTTCTGAATAATTATCTAACAAAAGGGCTGCTTCTAAGAGTAATAGTTGGCATTTGTCTATTTGTCACAAGTAATTAAACTCTCTCTCTCTCTCTCTCTCTCTCTCTCTCTGTCTCTCTCTCTCTCTCCTTATCGGTCGCCATTTGTACATAGTTTTTCTTTTACCTACCCAGTGTCCCTGTAGCTGGCCCCCCAAGAAAAAGTCTGTATTTGTTGATTTCGTCAGCAACAGAGAACTGGCTGTATAATTCATAAAGCTTTGTCCCATAGGTCAGTGTGATAGATACGTAGATGGAGGAGCTTCTTCCCTTGGTAAGTTGATGTATTACGTCATTTCCTGAAATAGTTAATCGTCGTGTAATATATAAAGAATTAATAAAGCAAAACATGTTCATTTTATGTTGTCATATAATTCAACATATGATTATGAGGGTATGAAGAAATTTGTAATTGTATAGTGTATTCAGCAATGAACATACATGTTTTGAAATCAAAGTGGCGGAATAGTTATATATTGTATTTTACATAAATTGTTATCAACTTCATTTTAACTGATAGAAAATAAAATGCTAATCAAAACTGTTAAAAAGCAGAAGAATTATTATCCCTTAAACCAACATAGGATGTTACACAGTTATAGAATGGGTACAGTGTTATGGGTCAGAATAACCCTAAATGCCAGCAAAGATCAATCACACAGTTTAAACTTAACAATAATTTATTTACAGTAATATACAAATCATTAAGTACAAACTTAGCAAAAATCTAAAAATACATACATCAGAGTGTCCGTTGCTGCACACAATGTTCCAGTGAAATTATATCCCAGTAATACCTCAGTGATGCTTGTATGACAATTGTATCTATGCATCGAATTGACAGGATATTTATACAGTAATATAAATCTAGAATATTCTAGAAGTTGTAAGTACATGATATTACTGGAAAGTTCTGGACATACACAAAGTTCAAGAATGTTCTAGAAAAAATGACTAAACATATGGACCACTCTGGAATGTTCAAGAAACTTAATGTTACTAATAATATACATGATGAAATAATACAAATACAACACACCTCACAACACCTCCCCCTTTAAAAAGTTTGAATGTCAATGAAAACTTACATTGTTAAAATGAGATATATGTACATTAATACAAAATCATATATGTTCACGATACTCTGGACAAGGCATCTGCAATAACATTGTCTTTGCCTTTGATATGCTTAATTGTTATGTTGTATTCTTGTAACAACAAACTCCATCTAGTCAGTCTTTGATTCTTGTTTGACAATTTATGCAAAAATGTCAGGGGGTTGTGATCCGTATATACAAGAATTGGATGCAAAGTAACATTCAGATAAACATCAAAATGCTGTAAGGCTAACAACAAAGCAAGGCATTCCTTTTCAATGGTGGAATACTTTTGTTGACATTTTGTAAGTTTCTTTGAAAAATAAGAAACAACTCTATCTACCTTATCACTATGTTCTTGAAACAAAGCTGCCCCGATTCCAACATCACTAGCGTCAACAGTAAGCTTAAATTGCTTAGCAAAATCTGGAGTTGATAGAACTGGATTGCTCATAAGGACAGATTTGATTTTATGAAATGATTTTTCACAGTCCTTTGTCCATTCAAAGTTAACCCTCTTTTGTAAAAGATTTGTAAGTGGACTAACTACTGAGGAAAAATTTGGACAAAATTTTCTGTAAAACCCAGCCATGCCCAAAAACCTCATTAACTCTTTCTTGTTTGTAGGAATCGGGAACTTTGCAATAGCTTCCACTTTAGCCATAATGGGTGTAACATAACCTTGACCTACTTTATGACCTAAATACTCTACATAGGCATGACAAAATTCGCTCTTCTCAAGGTTCACAGTTAAGTTTGCTTTAGCTAAAATGTCAAACAAAGCACGCATGATTCGGAGATGTTCGTCCCATGTGTCGCTGTATATGATGACATCATCAATGTAGGCCTCGCATCCCTCAAGGTCTTGAAGAAGGGAGTGAATCATCCTTTGGAATGTAGCTGGTGCATTTTTCATGCCAAAAGGCATTACTTTATACTGGTAAAGTCCATCTGGTGTAGCAAAAGCAGATATTTCTTTTGCTCGTTCTGTTAACGGTACTTGCCAGTAGCCTTTCAACAGGTCAAATTTACTGACAAATTTCGCGTTTCCAATTTTGTCAATACAGTCATCGATTCTAGGTATTGGATATGAATCAGTTTTGGTAACAGAGTTCACCTTTCTAAAGTCTGTACATAATCGGTAGGTACCGTCCTGTTTTGGTACAAGAATACATGGTGAGCTCCAGTTACTTTTACTAGGTTCAACAATGTCATTGTCCAACATGTACTGCACTTCCCTTCTTAGGTACTGCAATTTTATTGGATTAAGACGGTACGGATGTTGTTTGATAGGCAGAGCGTCACCCACTATGACATCATGACAAGCTGCATTAGTTTTCTTTGGAACATCCGAAAAGATGTGATGATACTCACTCATCAAGTTTTTAACTTGTTCCTTTTGGTGAATGTTCAAATGTCCAAGTTTGGCATCCAAATTAGCCAAAACTTCTGAGTTTTTCAAACGAACACTCTGATTACAATCTTTCTCATTCATTTCTACACTCATATCACTTTCACTACAATTTTGAACAGTCTTAGCATTGGCTAAAGTGGAAACTGGTTTTACAGAATTTCGGTCACACCTTTCAAAATACTCTTTTAACATGTTAATGTGACAAACCCGTTTCTCTTTACGTCGACCTGGTGTCTTAACTACATAGTTTACATCACTGATCTTGATTTCAATTTCATAAGGGCCATAAAATCTGGCCTGTAAAAGATGACCAGGAATAGGTAAAAATACAAGAACCTTATCACCTGGCTTAAACACCCTATTTCTGGCATCTTTGTCATACCACATTTTCATTTTCATCTGAGAACTCTTCAAATTTTCTTGTTTTAATTTACAAGCATTGTAAAGTTTTTCTTTGAAATCAGACACATAATCTAAAAGATTAAGATCACTAGTCTCAGTCAGCCACTTTTCCTTCAACAATTTCAAAGGACCTCTAACTGTATGACCGAACACCAATTCAAAAGGACTGAACCCAAGAGACTCCTGGACTGCTTCTCGTGCAGCAAATAGTACAAGATGAACCCCTTCATCCCAGTATTTCTCATACTGGTAACAATAGGTCTTCAGCATTGTTTTTAGGGTTTGATGAAAACGTTCTAGCGCTCCCTGGGACTCAGGATGATAAGCAGTTGATCGATACTGCCTAATACCCAACTCATGCATGACTTGCTGGAACAACCCCGACATAAAATTTGAGCCTTGATCCGACTGAATTGCCTTGGGTGCTCCTACAAAACTGAAAAACTTGGTTAGGGCCTTAACTATGCTCTTTGCCTTTATATTCCTAAGAGGTATGGCTTCAGGAAATCGAGTGGATGTACACATAATGGTAAGTAAATACTGGTTTCCAGATCTAGTCCTAGGCAAAGGTCCTACACAATCCACCAACACTCGACTAAACGGTTCTTCAAAAGCTGGAATGGGTTGGAGAGGAGCAGATGGTATCTTCTAATTTGGTTTACCTACCATCTGACAGACATGACACGACTTACAAAACTCAGAAACATCCTTCCTTAGCTTAGGCCAATAAAAATGACTCAAAATCCTATTATAAGTCTTATTGATACCTAAATGACCAGCCATAGGGGTATCGTGAGCTAAACTCATGACATCTCGACGATAAGCAGCTGGAACCACTATCTGGTGAACAACAAGCCACACATCATCTGGGGAAGCGTCAGGTGGTCGCCATTTTCGCATAAGGATGCCATCTTTCATATAGAAGCATTCTCCAACTTTAGTAGCCTCTTCTGGTGGAAGTGCCCTCTTACTAAGTTGAATGATATCTGGGTCTTTATGTTGTTCAGAGAGTAGACGTTCTCGGCTGAGGATGTCCTTGCCTTGGCTAACTAATGGATGCAACTCATCATCCTCACCACCAAATTTTGATAAAGGTTCCTTCATCACCGACTTCTCGATATTGTGTGGTTCCATGTTTGTTTGAGTGCCATCAAGGTCAGATAAGAAAGTGTTATTCAAATCAATATCAACAGAGGAATTCGTCTCCTCAAAGGCTTGAGTATGGTCTGCCTCCATTTCTCGTCTTCTGGCCATCGCTCTAGTAACAGCACAGGCTGGATAAATGTCATCATCTTTATCATCGCACATAACATCTGGAGTGATTTTCTCACAAACTATAGGATCTGGTACAACTTTTCCACCAGCTAAATCGTTGCCTAGCAACAAAGAAATGCCTGGAACGGGAAGAGTAGGTCGAACACCTACGATAACAGGTCCAGTAACTAAATCTGACTTCAAACTAATTCTATGCAGGGGAACATCAATGACGCCTAGCTCCACACCCTGTAATAAAACTGACCCACCAGTAGAAGTCTGCTCAGACAAAGGAAGCACGCCCTCTAACAATAACGTCTGTACAGCACCAGTATCTCTCAAAATCTGGACAGGTTTTATTTCGCTAGAGCCACCGAGTGAAACAAATCCCTGAGACATAAAGGGCTTATAATCCTCCATAGAATCAATAGAACTGGACTGTGAACCCTGGACATCAGGAGTGTCAGAACAAATCGAAACTAAGGCTTCTCTATCACCTCTAACTGCCGCACAAGCATGTGGTTGAGTTTTATCAAAGTCATTTTTTCTCTTAAGTTTAAAGCATTCACTGATCAGATGACCTTTTTTCTTACAATAACTACAAGTAGGAAGCGACCCTATTCCAGAAGATCCTTCAACGCGTCCTGGACCGGACTTAAAACCACCTTGGGATGGAGACTGGGAACTTGTGAAAGACTGCGACCCTGAACCACTCTTTTTATATGTGTCTGAATCGGTAGAATTACTGCTAGTCTGAGATCTTGATACAAAATTCTTTTTATGAGACAGAGCATAAGTATCAGATATGACTGCTGCCTCTTCAAGAGTTTTCACATTCTTATCTTCTAAATGTGTTTTCAAATCTTGAGGAACACATTCCTTAAACTCTTCTACCAGGATGACTTGGCGCAAATTAGCAAAGGTTTTATCAAGTTTCTTAGATCTAAACCAGTGATCAAATAAATCTTCTTTCTCTCGTGAAAATTCAACAAATGTTTGATTATCAAACTTTCTATACTTTCTGAACTTTTGTCTATACGCTTCAGGTACTAATTCATATGCTTTTAATATTGCTGCTTTGACCTTCTCATAGTCTGAACTCTCAACTACCCCTAGTGCAGAGTATACCTCA